CGTGAGGGCTGCAACCTCAGAGGAATCCGCATCAATCCCAGCCCGAATCTGCGTTTTGAGAGAGGTGACATCTTGGCCCTGCTGGAGACTGAGCGAGAGGCACGCCGGCTGCGCTAGACGATGGCAGGCCCGCGTGATGTTGACAACAGCCTGGAAGTGTTGTAACTTGCTTGATTTTGCTGACAATGCGGAAGCCAATTCGGCGCCATGCTCTGCAAGGACGATGGCAACGGGCACGACTCTGAACGAGCTTTGCTGCGAGTGGGCGTCAAAAGAAGAGCCTGTTGCTGTCGGCAGTCTAAGCTCGTCTAAAGCGCACGCTACCCGCTCTGCACCTTGACTCCTGCATGGTTGGCATCGCCATGAATTAGGCACCAAACCAAACACTGACGACAAAATTAAGCATTGCTGTCCAAGAGCACAAGGCAGTATCATCGAGTATCCTTGAGAGCCGACGCTTTCTCACTTGCGACTGGCCCTCAGGTCCGGTGTATCTGCGACGCTTCAGAAAGAGCGGCAGCAACAGGCTTACGAACGGTCGGGGAGAGCAGAGGACATGGGGCAGTCTCCGCAATTCCAGCTTTACACTTCCTTGTGTGAGCTGCAAGGTTGGTGTTGGTTCGCTTGCCTGGCCACTTGGTGATTGGGCACTTGCCCCAGAGACTTTCCCTAACGATAATGCCTGAAGCGCGGCACGTTTTGTTAGGCCGATGCGGCCAACGGAGCCCACCGAAATCGCAGAAGGTAGTTGGACCGAGATTCCTGGGATGTCGCTAACCTGCAGCCTCAGGAGATCTCAAATGCTAGCCGAGTGCAGAAAGCTTTCATGATGCTATTGCTAGCTGCGTGTCCTTTAAGACATGTGTGTTTTCTGTCCGCAGTCAGGAGACCGAGAGACCGCGTGCTGTTGGTGCCGCGAGCTTGAAGTTCAAGCTTGTAGTCTTCTAGCATCCCCCCTCTGGTTGTGGCTGAAGGTATCACATCGATTGCAGCCCACTTAGCCACTTCTACGAAGCCCACTTCACCATCTTCAGGAGAAAGGCCAGGCACGGTGCCGTGAGTCCTCTTCTGATCTACTGACTCTTGCATTCTGAAGCCAAGTGGCCAGCAGGAAGCTTCATCTTCACCTGCCCAGAACCTGGGTTTCTCTGAGGATACACTGATACACTTTGCCGTCGGCAGTAGGCAGGCCACATGAGTGAATGCAGACCAGTCAGGACTTCGGATTGGACATGGCATCTTGGATGATGGATGGTGAATTAAAATCAGTTGAGCCCAAAGGGAGTGGGCAGTGAAATACATCGAGTCCTGCACGGCTTTTAAGCGGCCTCTGTCAAAGGTTTTCTCCGATTATGGTGCTTCAAGCGAATATCCTGCTGCTCTCCTGATTGATACGCCTGGAACGCAGGGCAACTCGACTGCCGGTGTGAACCAACCTGGGATCAGACTGCACGACACGGGAACTGATGCCGCCCAGGTCCGTGGACGTACTATGTGGCTGCTCGTGTTGCTAACTTGGGAACTAGCAGAGACAACCCTCCTGTTGTCGTCGGCTACTCTGGCTCCATTTCTGCAGTGTTGCTGACGAGATAGGTATTCTTCATCTTGAACGACGCAGCACGGTCAGAGTTGGAGCATTGGTGTCCAAGTAGATGGTTTCACGGCGATGATAGCGTCGCTTACAGCCGCATGTCAATTGTGAGAAAAAGGCGAGCTTGTTGCTGAGAATCTGGCATAAATTATTTCTTAGCAAGACATGCAGACGCAATGACTAGCCGACGTCGGCCCAACGAAAAGCAGTAGAGCAGTGGCACGATTCCTCCCGAAGGCCATGCTGGGCAAGTCCTCCGTCAGTCTAACATCCTCTCCTTTAGCTTTGGCTTCTGTCCATGCTATGCAAACAAGCAAAATGTTGGTGCTGCAGCAGTGACAGGCCTCTTCGGTGAAACGGAGCTACCTGGTACGTGTACATACAAGCTGCGGCCACAGTGGAGAGCCATCGTGCAGACAGTGCTTTCGACAGCAAGGGTGACGTTCGCTCAGCGTCCGTTCTCCGTGGCCAAAAGCGGTTCTGGCAGATTCCCCTTGCAGTAGCCTCGCAGCATTTGAAGCTCATTCTTTGCCATGGACGCGGGTGGTGCTGCTTGGCAAGCATTGTGTTGTGAACAGCTCGGATATGTACTCATCACGCACTAGCTTTCCTTCGCTCTCCAGCTGGATTATCGTGTGCGGGCGGGAACAAGTACGGAAGGCAGGAAAAAGGATGTCGGGAAGAACATTGGAGGAGTGATCGCTGAAAAAATGAGAAACATCTGGTCATTGAAAGTCTTCCTTCGGCCAATGCCTTTTGCCCAATGTGTGTGCTGGGAGTTATGTCGGATGGGATGGGAAGCCTTTGCCAAGCAGCCCATGTTCCCAGGCGGGACATTTCCCAAGGTAGAAGTAGGATGCCAGACTACAACCTGCATGCAACGCGCATCTTATCTTTCGAAACGGCACAGTCTCTGTGACTTCGAGCACCTGGTTGAGAGTCATAGGAGCAGTCGTGAAGATGGCGCAGTCCTGCTTGCGGCTGACTCCAGACATGATGTGGACTGAGAAACCCCCCGGTCCCTCGCACACGATGTGCCCAACCTGGACAGTGGATGGTAATAGGACATATGCATGGGACGGACGGGCTTGTGCTG